ATTGCTTTGCCATCCAAACCATGAGAAAAACATGAAAGACTATGATTATAGTTCACTTAGAACCTCAGCTATCAGATTTATTTGCATTAACGGATGGCTGTGTCCTCAGGAAAGGCAGGCCAGCAAGATGAGGTGGTGGGGTTGCTTTTTACGTGAGAGAGCAACTAGAATGTATTGAGTGCTGTCCAGAGACAGATAGGAGTGGGTTGAGAGTTTGTGGGTGAGAATTAAGGGCAGGCTGGCATGGGTGATGCTGTTGTGGGTGTCTGTTACAGGCCACAAGATAAGGACAGGGAAGTTGACGAGGCTGTGCTGGATCTTATTCTCATAAGGAGGGTCTGGTTGAAGTGGTGAAGGTTGAGGGCAGCCTTGGTTGCAGCAACCATGAGGTGATGCAGTTCAGGATCTCATGTGGCAGGGACAGAATACTGAGCAGAATCACAACCCTGGACTTCAGAAGGGCCAACTTTGATCTCTTCAGGGAATTGCTAGGGGAAATGTAGGCCCACTGATGAATGAGGTGGGTGCCCTGGTGACAGAAGATACAGAGAAGGCAGAGTTACTGAATGCCTTCTTTGTCTCTGCCTATACTACTGGAGGCTGTCCTGAGGAGCCCCATACCCTTGAGGCCCCAGAGGAAGCCAGGATTGATGGAGTTTGCCACGGTTGATGAGGACTGGGGTGGGGACCAGTTAAGCAATCTAGATATCCATAAATCCATGGGTCCCGATAGGATGCACCCACAGGTGCTGAGGAAGCTGGTGGAAGCCATTGCTATGCCACTCTCCATGATCTTCCCCTGGGTGCCCTTCACTTTCACAGCTAAAAAAACGTACTGTCTTGCAGGGCTGAAACAAGGTGCTCTACGAGGCTTTCAGTCTCCTGCTCTCCGTTAGTACACATCAGCCAGGAGGTGTGGAAGCCTTCAAAAAGGGTGAAGAAAAGCAACTCAACACTTTGAATCTCAAGACAAAAGCCACAGAATTTGTGTTAGCCATTCCTCCTCCAACAAAAAGCAATTTGCAGGAAAAACACACATCAGAAACCCATGAGTCTCAGGCACTTGCCTGCAAGACAAGGGCCCAAGGCCCAGGACCTGTTTCTGGCAGAACTTCTCCCCTGAGTTAATTCCTGATCACTGAAGTAGGCTGACACAAAGCTAATGCTTTTTCAGTTGTTGCCCATCTTATTTCTCTCCTACCTCCATGGATAATCAGTCCCAGATTAGAAAAGTAGTTTTGGTCAGAGTGAAGACAACAAAAATATGATTCCTGGAGTCCAGGCAGACTAGATGATGTTTAAGCAAATGTTTGCTGGACTTTGCACTAAAAAAAAACAACTATTGTTTATTGTATATCATTGTTCATCTCCCTCTTGTTTTCAGTGGTTTTCTACTACAGAAGCAAGACCCATAGCAGTATGAAGCTTTTGCTGGGGTTGATAAATGTGTCTCCTCATCTGAATTCCCTGCCCTGACATAATAAAAAGAGGTATGACTAAAAACATCAATTAATCTGTGGGAGAAGATAGAGGTATGTCCAGAACTATGATGAGAACTGTGCCAACAAATGCACTGTAATTCACACGCCTTGTTTGTTTTAAACAAAAAGCGTGGCTTGCTGCTTAGCTCTTTCTGCCTGTGAAATCTGTATAAACCCCTGTATAAATTTGTTACAAAAGCCTCAGGGCAGAGTGGAACTCAGCTGTATGGTACATGCACAACATCAGTGGGCTCAGAGCGTGCCGGGGGCTGCTGGGTGCCTCCAGAAAAGAACTGCTATGGTGTGGGTTACAAAAGAAAACTGGCAAATAACAGTCTGAAAATGGCACAGGTTTTAAAAGGGTTTTCATGCTCTTCTGTAAATCTGAATTTTATGAATGCTGGTGTTAGAAAAGTTTACAGCAGTATCAAAGTAGAGATACAAACACCTACTTTTACTTACACCTGGTAAAACGTGTCTTGTTATAGATCTCAGCTTGTCACATTTAAGACCAACAGCATATTTTTTTTCTAAGCTAGCTATCCATAAAGCTTGCTCCACTTACTCAGTGAGAGCAAGTAAATGCAACATTTAGAGCTTTTGTCCAAGTGTATATGATGTTAGGAGAACAGAGGTGATATGCATAGAAAGGTTCGCAGCATCGTTTTTATGGTCAGTTATGCTCTGAGTAATGCAGTCAGTCTGCTCACCAGACACTAAGGAGATAGCAACATAAGAAAGTTGTTAGTCATGCCAAGTAAGACAAGGAGGCAGTGACAGTTCTTTTAACTGGGTCTTTCTTATACAGAACTGAAGAGACGACGCATGAACGCAGTCTGAAGCACAAGATTTCTCATAAAAAGCCTTGGAAAGAGCTGGTGTTAGGAGCTGAAGGAACAGCAGAAACATCCTAGCAGCAACAAAAGGAAGCTCCATGATCTGAGAGGCAATACAAGCCACCTGCTCACTTGAGGTCATCTTTCTGGGTGAGACCTAAGGACAGTCCTGCTTCTGGAAGGCACCAGCATCACCAGCACCTGAGGTAGATTCCCATAACAACACACCAGATAAATCATGTCATGCTTTTGCCCAGGGCAGCCTCTTGAAAAATACAGAAAAAAAAAAAAAATCTTCGGGATACCTGTGAGCTTGTCAGGTTCTTTTTATGCTTTAAATCAAGACATATTATTTTGCCATTTCAGTATATGCCATATTCTTTTACTAAAAAGAGTAAATAGAAAGAAGCATCCAAACCAACTGCATTGCACTAAAGTGGCAGTATGAATTTTTTCCCTCTTTTTACTACTACTTAATGAGCTGTGACCTGCTCTTTCGAGGCCCTCAGTATCTGCACCCACCACAAATGCTTTGCCAACAGCTGCAGCAGCTGAAGAGCTGCTGCTGTCACCTTAGCCATAGAATCATGGAATCATTAATGTTGGAAAAGACCTCTAAACTCATCTAGTCCAACCATCCACCTACTACTGGTGTTGCCCACCAACCGTGTTCCGTAGCATTGCTGCTTCTATTTCAAAGCAAAGGGGCTGTGAAGCTGTAGAAGTGTAAATATCTGTGTACACACAAGTATGTCCCACAGAGGCCCTTGAAAGAAGATTAGAACTGGAACTAATTTTTGCTAGTTCAGTATAAACTCTACCTATGCTTCTTCCTTTGGCAAAAGGCATTCTGAAATGCCAAAGGAAAGAAATGTGAGTTAGAAAAAAAAGAGCTTGATTATAAAATATATTGCTAATTTGGATCTAAATAAAGAAATTCCCCTTTTCTCCCACTCCATTACACTAAATTACTTATAGCCTGACACTGCTTTCCAGTATGGCTCCTGTGGCCATGGCTCTTTGAATAGAAGATTATTTTTAAACACGCTCTAAGAGCAGGATTCAATTAGCCTTGCATTTGGTGAGTCAAAGGCTTAGCATTTCAGACTCAATTGCTTTTGATAGCATTGACCCAATCACTCCTGTGTCATGGACCTACAGGCCCCTGACTGAAGAATGATCCTGGAATGGAAGAAAGTATTCTGACAGTTTCAAGGGAACTGATATTGTGGCTGTAGCCACAAGTGTCTTGTTTTGTAGAGAGAGCTTGTTTGTGCAAAGACTTGTTTTGCAAGCAGCTGTTCCACCTGGGCTCTGTATCACGTGTTGGCTGTGCAGGTACAGCATGCAATGGGACAAACCCTGCAGACTCTGGGGAGAATCAAGCAGGAGAGTGGCTGTGGTGGGGGTGAAAGGCAAAGTGCTCTCTGAAGCAGTAAATTCCCTGCAGTAAATTTCCTTTTAGCAGTTCCCCATCTCTCGGTGCTCAGTAAGTAGGACTGCGTTTGCTTAGGGATGTTCTGTTCTCTCGTTACAGGGATGATTTAAATGAATGCCCGTGTGTGTGTGTGAGCGTGTGTATGCTGACTAAAACTCATGACCCTCTGTGCTGCTCTCAATGCACAGTTTGCTTGCCTCTCTGCTCTTCAGACATCCTGTCTCTCAGATCCACACATATCCTCAAACAACTCCCTTTGACACACCATCATCTTCCCCTTACTTAGACATACTATGCTAGCACTATATGAGGATGTAGCCTCTTCCAGAGGGCTTACCTGGCCTAAAAGTATTTGCTTGGGGAGTTTCTTCAGTTGGGGACAGGGGGCTGGAAGAATTCTGGGTCATTCTGGGTCAGTTCAGTCTCATTATATGTTTTTCTGCATAGTTTCACACAGATGGGGCAGCAGGAGTAATAAGACAAGCACGAGAGGTACTTAAACCAAAAAAAAGTAACAGACAGGGGAACATACACAGGAACCACAGATCCTTAATTTTTTTTTTCTATAATTCCTTTTCTAGACAGTTTTCTTTCATTTGGAATATCTCCTTCCACACAGTGTAGTTAGTCCCACATAGCCATGTGATCATTTACCAAATCCCAGCTGTTCCTTAACTCCTACTCTTCACCTGCTGAAGAAATGCAGACAATCCCAGAAGAAACCATCACTTTACATTTAATTACTCAGTCTTAGTGCACAGGTACAGTTCTGTTAAGTGGTCCAAAACCTTTGTTTGGCCCAAAGTGGTCGAAAACCTTTGTAGAAGTCAAAAGCATTCAAAACTCAAGCTAGCTCAAAGTGTCATAACAATATCATGTAGTCAAAAATGCCAGATGCCAACAGGAAAACAAACAACCAATCCCAAAAGCACAGTCAAGCATTCTGCTTTTCTGTTATATGGTGGTGTCTAGAATGCAGGTTTGGGTGAAGGGGCATATACCTTTATGGTCAAAAGGTATGCTTCATCAGTTGGCTCAGAGAGAACACTAATGATGTATACAAGCTGTACTTTCACCAGAGCTGCTACAAAATCACACAGTTACAAAGAGACTGGAAGGAATGATTTCACATCTGACATCACTCCTTCAGGAAGAGCATCACCCTACTCCACTGTGCACATAGGGTAGGGTGATGCTCCTACCCCATCCTTCACAGCACTTATTGGTGTATGCAGAATTGCTTACCTGTTACAATAGGATATGACTGTGGTCCGGGAACACTTGCTCCTAAATCTGCAGAAGTAGGGCTGGTTATATTGGCCTTCATGTCATCCAGTCCTCCAGCTAATGATGCCATGGCTGAGTATTCAGTTGCCTGGAAGAAGAATCAAAAGACATTTTAGTCACAATAAATGCACTATTCAACAGTTTTTGCCTGCATGACAATGAATACTAGTTGCCATGCAGGAACCCTTAAAAGCTCTTGTTTGGTCAGATTGACCAGTTTTAAAGGCAGTAAATACAGGGGTGGTGTATACTGTTGTGTTAAGCAGTCAGAATAATAAATGGGTCTGTGCTTATCATCGATGTTCTTGGAAAACACCAAAAGGGGCTTTCCTGATAAAATGAAAGCTAAACTCATCCTTGTGGCACAAAGCTTTCCATAAAAAGGAAGTTTTGTAGAGCAAAGCGCACCTGCCCTGTTAGGTACAAGTGTAAGATTCAGAGAAAACCATTCACATCTATGAAGTTGAACTCTCCTTAATTCAGTGGTGAATTAACACACTGGCAAGTAGGTGGGAACCAGAACGCCCTGTTTCCCAGCTTCTCTTAGGCATGCTTCATTTTCTCGTTATTTCATAAGAAGTAGAGTGCACTTAAATAGGAGCGTTTGATTAATGAATGGATTTGAAATCAAGTGTTTCAAAAGCCACAAGATTTAAGAATGAATAACCTGACCATTGTAAGGATGCTCTCATTTCATGGGAATTCCTTAACACAACAGCCAAAGTTTCACTAACTGAGCACAGGTCCTCAGAAAACAGACTCCTCCTGTCCTCTAATCCTGTTGGTGTCCATGTAGCTATGATCATCTACAGCAGTGAGGCCAATCCACACACCCAGAAAGGCTCCCATGTACATGGCAGAAAGCTCATCCTCATTAGTGTTTCTCATGGTTTCTTACTGCAGGATCACTCACACAAAACAAAGACATTTCTTTTCGACGTCCTCCCTTCCCTATTGCTATTTTCACTAGTTTTAATCCTTTATTTGTGAGATAAGTCCACAGCAGTCAGAGGATTAGGACTTCAAGTGAACAACAGGCAACAGGAACAGACAAAATTAATAAAAACTCCAAGGTGGATTCCCACTATACCACTGCAGATGAAGTAATGAGTAATTACTTAGGCCTGCAGTGATTTTTTGGGCTATCACATCAAAATATTAACTTTAATATTTTTTATTTAAGTAAACAAAACATTTCTTGAGTAACTCTGCCTGTGTCCTCGCAGGTTTCTTTGAAGTGCCAGAGATGTCCACCACACAACCTGAGATTTGCCACAAGCTGAGTGCTCTGGGTCAGGTGTGTACCTGTTTGCATCTCTGTTACTCAGCTATTACTCAAGGTGAAGCGAATTTATAGTTTATGATTAGCAGGTTCATACTGACAGAAACACGTTTCATTTGAGGCTGCAATCTGTGTGAGGCACAAGTGCCCACATCACCTCGAGAGATCTCCCATACAAACCTCTTCCAGATGAGCGTGCCAAATACCTTTTGCCAGAAGGAACAGCTGCTGGCCACCCACTCTCTTCACCCTGTGCATGGATCAGTGCTGCAAGGAACTTTGCATCAAAGCAATATGGGCCTGTGGGAGCAGGTCCAGAGGAAGGACACAGAAATGATCCCAGCAATGGAACACCTCCGTTACAAGGACAGGCTGAGAGCTGAGGCTGAGCAGCATGGAGAAGCAGATGCTCTGGGAGACCTGAGAGCAGCCTGTCAGTATCTAAAAGGGGCCTTTAAGAAAGGAAGGGCAGACCCCCTAGCAGGATCTGCTGTGACAGATGCAGTGGAAAAGGTTTCAAATGAAAAGAGGGAAGATTCAGACTGGATATGAGGAAGAAGTTTTTTACAATCAGGATGGTGAGGCACTGGAACAGGTTGCCCAGAGAGGTGGATGAAGCCCCATGCCTGGAGACATTCATGGTCAGGCTGGATGAGGCTCTGTGCACGGTGTCCCCGTTCACTGCAGTGGAGTTGGACTAGATGACCTTTTAGGTTCTCTTCCAACTCAAACAGTTCTATGATTCTTTGAAAGACTTCTCAACAAGAACTAATCATCAAAGACTTATCATCATCTTCTGCATTCCCCAGTTGCATTAGATTTTGTTCTGTTTCCTCAGCCCTTACAGCTTATTCATCATCCAAACTTCTCCTCACCCTCACGTTTCCCTTGCCTTCATGAACCCAGTCTCTGACACTGGTTCCTCAGAGATGTGCACTGTCCACATCTCTGCTTCAGCAGTGCTTCTGATACCTCTGACCCTCTGGTGCACAGTTTCTGGTGTAGCACTCCTCTGCAGGGATGCTTCCAGCCATTCTGCAGGCTCAACCAGACAAAGCTGCTTCTTCTGGTCCTGCATCCTACCCAGAGCAATCATCACAGAAGCCCCATCCGGTCTTCTCTCTGGCAGCCCTCCTGCTTCCTGCAGGGCCACAGCAGGCTGCATGGTCTCTGTCCTGCCCTTCAGCCTCTGCTTTGCGTGGAGCTGCCAGCCTTCACACTGCTCCACACATCTCTGTGTCTGCAGTCCTAACATCCCCCTGCATATCCGTATCTGGCATCCCAAAGCCCCGATCTGAAAAGAGACCGGACGAATGAAAGCACAGCTGCAGTCTTGCAGAGACACCTCGTGTTTAACCCCGTCACAGCCAAAAGGTGCTGCAGGGCCTGCTGCTGCTTGCACACACCCAGCTGAGGCATCACAAGCCTATGCCTGCAAAGTCCCTGCCACGGGAGCCTCAGGCGTGCTGCAAATGTCAAAGCATCACAGCTTCCTTTGGTTTTGAGTTGCTAGTAACTAATCTAGGAGGAAAGTAACAGGAGTAGGTCTCAAATTTTAACTGCAGTGATCTGACAACACCAGATCAGTGAACTTGCTTTTATCAAGCTCAGAGGGATTTCACCTGTTACAGCAGCAGAAGCAAATAGCTAGAAGGGTATAGCACACTCTGCTGGGAGAAGGGACAATGGCACACCTCTGCTCCTTCGTGTCACCTTGCACAGGGAGAAGGAGCCTGATGAGCTCCAGAGATGGGGTCCAGCCTGCACCTGCTGCTGTGGGGGTGCAAATAATGGAATTTTCAGGGATCTTCCCTGTTCTCATGGCAAAACCACATCTGCATCCCTCCTCAGAGGCAGTAGCTGCTGCCCACTCCACAGCCAGGCTGACAAGCCACAGGAGGGCAACAAACCACAGAAGGGTCACCACAGTAACTGCACACAAGGCACTCACCAGCAGTAGATGTGGGCTGAGTCCCAGCTGCTCTGGACCCAACACCACCTCCTTGCAGCCACATGTTGCAGGGCAGAAGCCAGTCCCTAAACTGCCCCTGTCATCACAGCAGCTGGGACGTGGCTGGGACCAGCACTAGGCCGATGCAGCAGCAGTGCAGGCAGCTTTGGGAAGAGAAGGAAGCATCCTGCTGCAGAAGGTGACCGCTGACAGGCTGCGATGCTGAGCCCTGTGCTAAGCATCCTGCAGAGAGATCCCCTCCCGTGGTGCATGTCAGTACACACACAGGGCAACAAGCAGCCCGGAGGGATCAGTGCTGCAGCACAGGGGTCTAAGAACTTGGCTCCTCCACCTCTGCTTGCCACATGGAGTCAGCATGACCATGGGACCTGTTGCTGTGAAGCAGGAACCCTGGCCTGCTTGGTTGATGAAAAAGCAAGAGTCAGGTGTTCAGTATCCTGGAAATTACCTGAAAAATGACTGCCTGCGGTTGTACCACGTACTGTCTCATCAGCATGGAGCACCACTGCCATAGCATGGAGGAGAGAAAACACAGACATGTGAAACGAGGAAATATAAAAGAAGAGACCGAGGACAAACCAAAAGGACAGGCAAGACTCATGTGCACGTTCTGCCCTGTGCTCTCAGCTCGGGAGGACAGGGAACCAGCAGAGGGGCTGGGGCAGAGGAGAGAGGGGAGCTCAGCATACACAGGGGTGCACTGCCACATGCAGGAGTGCACACACTGCACCTCCCTTCCCTTGTCCTTGCGGAGTGCAGATGGATGCTGAAGTTTCACATCCATCTTTGTTTCAAAGGCTTTATTTCCAAATATTTCCTCCACAGTCACCTCTGCACCAGGACCAGTGCCATTTGCTGGTGCCTCTGCTCAAGTGGTGCTGGGAAGACTCTGTGACACCCAGATTCCTGGGAGGTGTCATTTGAAATCTCTCTCCGAGTACTCTCCCGTTCGTTTTATGGAAGGGGAAACTGACGTAGTCCAACATATTTAGGAATGGCTGTGCCAGCGGCTACTTTCCAAAAATCACCGTGGCCTGGAAAAACAGCTGGAGCACGAGCTAGGTGTCCCTGCACAGGAACTGTGCCTCACGCACTGCAAGAGTGGAAAGAGAACCCTCCACACTCCACACACCACATCTTGTCAGCAGCCCATGAAGGTGTGAATAGGTGAGGAGGAGGAAGAAATTACCAACTTTTAGTAGCTTTTAGCAGAAAAACACAGGACCCATATCACCTCCGCTGCCCTTGGTTTCTCAGCTGCATACAAAGACAGATTGCTTCAGACACAAAATGACAGAGTCTCTTAAAACACAGCATCTCACGGGAGCCCTCACATCTTACTCTACCTGCAGGAGATATGCTTTGGCATAGGAGATACCTGTGGGGTGGTGGAGGTGATGTGTGCACAGTGGGTGAAGAGATGCAGGAGCACTTGGTACTGTTCTCAAATAATATGAGCAGTGTCAGAAGGCACCTCCTGTGGCACTACGGTTAAGTGGTGAGATACCCCATCACTGATTTAACTCTGCACTTCTTGTAGCAAGATGCCTGAGTGAAATTTACCAGGTCAGCATACCCTAAACAAACGGCAGTTTTCGCTTTCAGGTATACCCAGAAGCTTATTCTAAATTAGCAAAGATGGGCATATAGTGGTGGGGCAGAGCTCACTGCAGGGCATACATGGGAAACCCACAGAGGGAACAGCTCTGCTGTGCCAGGGGCTGGGCTAGCACAGCAGCAGTGCTTTCTTCTTCTGCTCAGTCTCCCAAATTGCACCTGCAACAACACAAGTGGGCATAAAGCAGCATGCCTTGTGCCTTTCTGCTACTTGTGT